TAGTTTAGACAAAATGTTTAAAAAAATTTAAAAATATAAAAAAAAAAGTGAGAAATGGCAAGTGGTGACGAGTGGTGACGGCGGAAGACGGTGGTGGAAAATGATGGTAGGTGGTGGTGGCGGAAGACGATGGTGAAAAATGGTGGCAGGTGGTGGATGATGGTGGTAGAAGACGGTGGTGGAAAGTGGTGGCAAGTGGCAGGTGGGTGAGTGGTGATGGCGGAAGACGGTGGTGGAAAGTGATGGCAAGTAGCAGGTGGTGGTGGCAGAAGATGGTGGTGGTGGAAAGTGGTGGTGGAAGACGGTGGTGGGTGGTGGTGGCAGAAGACGGTGGTGGAGGGTGGTGGTGGCGGAAGACGGTGGTGGAAAATAGTAGCAAGTGATGGCGAGTGAAAAACTGAAAAAAAAAAAAATTTAAAACTGAAAATGTTTTTAGTTTTAAAACTAAAAAAAAAAAAAAAAAAAAAAAAACTGAGAACATTCTCAATTTTGGAACCGGGAACATTCTCAATTGAAATGGGACTTGTGAGTCTAAAAACTGTTACATAGAATTTGAGTTACCACACCGGCTGTCATTAGGACTTTTAAGTAATTACTCCTTCAAATAATTACACTAAATATTGTTTTTTTTTATCCTTAGTGCTCTTTTTTCAACCTTTTTGTCAAATTTTTTTTGCCAGGTCTGTCTTTTGTAGACAAATTAAAAAAAAAAAAAAAAAAGTCAAAAAGTCAAATGTTTTTGCTTTTTTTCAAAATTTTAAAATACTTTAATGTTTCCGATTACTCTACTAGTAGAACCCAGAGTGTCGAACTTTTTGATTTTTTTTTAAAAAATTCACTAAAATAAAAACTAATAAGAAAATCACTAAAAAAAGTCAATTTTAAAGACGCACTTAATTCTAACGCAACAGGTTTAGACGTTGCAATATATCATTAAAATTAAAAATGAACAATATTATGTCAATTTGAATTTGAAAAGTTCTCATAGTCTTATCACTGTGGTCATGTTATTTATTTCAATGCGTTCCCATAAATTTTCATTTCATTTACTTCTTCTCCTTTTTTTTTCTACAATAAATTCCTATCATACACCTATAAAAAATTTATATGTTAAAATTCATTAGCCTTGCATTACGCAAACTCTCCTATTGAGCTAATCACTAACGGTTTTAACCGTCATTTTATTTCCTAATAATTTACAAATAACGGTTATAATTTCTCGACTTTCTTACATAAGTTTCTTTGTGTTCTTGCATTTGCTTGCAGGTAGAAGAACCCGAGGATGTTTCAGAGATACCATATGGATCCCAATTCAAACGCTATGAATACAGAAATCACAGTTTCACTATTGAGATGTTTTGGTCACCATATTTGGTTAAAACCACACAAACAGACCCTACCGACCCAACCCAATCTCGACCCTTCAATCTCTTCCTCGATGAGTTTGATGAGCAATGGACAAGTAAAATCGAACCTTTTGATTATGTCATCATCTCAGCCGGACACTGGTTCTTCCGTCCCACCATGTTCTACTTGGAAGGCCGCCTGGCAGGCTGCCTCTATTGTCCACAGAGCAACATACCTCACCTAACCTCATATTTTAGCTATCGAAGAGCGTTTAGGACCGCGTTTAGGGCTATAAACAGCTTATCAAACTACAAGGGCTTAACATTTCTTAGAACATTTGCACCCTCACATTTTGAAGGTGGGTATTGGGATAAAGGTGGAGATTGTGCGAGAAAAAGGCCGTTTAGGAACAACGAGACGAGTTTGGAGGGTTATAATTTGGAGTTTTATTCGATCCAGGTTCAGGAGCTTAAGATCGCGCAGAGGTTAGGGAGGAGGAAAGGGTTGAAGTATAGGTTATTTGATGTAACACAGGCGATGTTGTTGAGACCGGACGGTCATCCTAGTAAATACGGGCATTGGCCACAGGCGAAGGTTTCGTTGGCGAATGACTGTGTGCACTGGTGCCTGCCTGGGCCGGTCGATGCTTGGAATGATTTCTTTCTAGAGCTGTTGAAGAGGGAGGGAATAGATTTAGTTTGAGAACAATTTTGATCTTTGAATTGGTTATTGTTATTGTTTTTATTTTTGAAATTTATGATTTCTTGAAATTCTTTTTTGTTGTTGTTAATGGTTGTGTGGGGGATCTAAAATTTGTACTGTGTTGGTAGGATAAGAGGGGAAAGATTCGTGGGTGAAAATAAAGATTTATCTTTGATTTTTATTTGTATTTACCAATTGATCTTATGATCATTTTTTTAAAAATGGGCCTTAGATCAGCCCATAATGCTAGACATAGCCCAAAAGTTGTTAGGCTTACTACATGAGAACCTCTAAACTTTAAGTTATTTTACAACTATAAAATTCTATCACAGAATTAAATTACCCGTAATTATTTTTTTTCTCATAAATTGCATAAATCTTCAATCTTCAAGAAAACAATTTTCCAAATTTCTATAGTTACTTCCAAATTGGAGATAGGGTCACTGCTGTGACTTCCTACCTACTGTCCTTGTTGCGTACCTTAAAACGACGTTGTTTTGAATCTTTGTTTGTTTTACTTTTTTTTTGCCTTCTCATGTGTGTGGGCTTGTGTGTGAGGAAATACAAACTCTATTTTTTTTTTCCCCATTGCAATACAAATTCTCATCTATTTCCATTGCCATATGAAGAAAGAATTCAGAACAATTATATTAATTGAATACCGTGTATGAACTACATCTAACTACTCTATTTTTTTTTCTCTATTGTCTTCTATTTCCTCGATGAATAAGACTCCAAATTCGCAGTTCAGCAAAGAATCAAATTGCGGCCTTCCGAGAGTATAGTGTATCGCCTTTGGTAAATATTCGGATCACCCTCAACAACCTTATTGTGACCCACAAGAAAGTTCCAAACAAACGAAACAAAACTCCAAATCCATAAACTCCGACGTCAACAACACCCAATTCCTAGAATGCCCAGAACTGTACAACACCATAGATGACCCATTCTTTCTGAGATCACCGCCTCTTCCATTTTCGTAGTCTCTTTAGGTGTGTAGTCATGTTGAGAACACATTATAATAACATAATTCTCATCCACCAAGTTGATTAATTTCTTAATTTCGATGGTCGTCGAGGCACCGCAAGAGTTTGTTGATGAAGCCATGGCAATGTTGCGCTACCGAAGTTCTTTGCCATAGACTTCTACATCTATATATATATGGTGTTATGAATATGTATATATAGGTGATGCGTATAGATTTTATGGAGGAATGAGGATAGAAGTTGCTTAATTGGGTTTGTATTCTATTCTCACCATGGGTGTGATGGTGCCTCTGCTGGAAGTTCAACTTGGTTTTTCCCAAAATGCAAGAAAAAAAAAGGTCAAAATGGCACCGTTTTAACGCACAACAGGGACTGCAGGGAGAAAGTCACAACAGTGACCCGTCTCCATAAAAAATATCAAATTATTCAACATATGCATGACATACCCATTAATTGCTTTCTTTGTGTCCCTAACAAATTTTCATATTGTTAATTATGCCATAATGATCACTTTATTAATTGCATTTTTTTCCCATAGAGAATTTATTTTCAATTATTTGCATGGTGTGTCATTGAGTGTAGATCAGTTGTCAAGTCATATTTATTTTATTTCTTGAGCAAATGTTAAAAAGTATCCTAGGACATTATTTAATATTGAGATTTAGTTAAAAAGTATATTGAAAATTGGTGAAAATATTTAAAAAAATATATTAAATTTAGTAAAAAATATCCCATGTTTTTTAATATTTTTTTTGGGGTCTTTTTCTTATATTTTTTAGGCAGCAGTTAGCAAGACCCTATTTCTTAACTTAATGGTTTTGATTTGATTATCATTTTGTTCCAAATTTAGCTCTCCTTTCATTAGTCAGCTTCACTTGTAATTCTAGGGAAATGCTATGGTGTGCATCCTTTTAGAGGTGCATACCTTATGCATTCTACCATAAAATATATAATTTTATCAAGAATTTGTAATATCAATTATAAAACTTGTAATATCGTCATAAATTGACATAATAAAAAGTATTATAATAAAATGACAAATTTTTACAATATTAACTATCAAATTTTAGATATTTTATTATGTTAATTTATGACAAAATTACACATTTTAAATTAATATTACAAAATTTTATAATAATGTTTTACGGTGCATGTATGATATATACCCTTTTAGAAATGCACACCTTAAAATTTTCCGTAATGGTATCCACTTTACTTTAGAGTAGGTTAGTTTATAATGATGTTAGTTGACCAAACCCAAGATGAAGTTCAAAATTTAGGTAAATTATGGTACTCACATACAATCTAGATCCTCTCCTTCATCTTTTCTACTTAGCTCCCTGCTTAGTGGTTATTAGGCCTATTTTAGACTCAATTTTAATAATTCGAATCGTTTACATTTTAGAATTTATCGAGTATATTTTACTTGTAAAATATCAAATTGATTATTTTTAGTTCGATAATTTGAACAGGTGATTTTCTATATCCGATCGACTTAATTTTTTACAAGTATAAAAAACTCAACGAATCTGAAAATATAAATAATTTAAATTATCAAAATTAAGCCCAAAATCAATAACCCACCAAATCAGGAGCCAAGTGAAAAAGTCCAAGGAGGGAATCTGGACTCACTTACATGGCCATAGCATGTTGAATATGCTCACTTTTTATGGATTACTAGTCATTGCGCGCCCAAGCGAGTGCTCATTACAGAATATCTATTATAAAGTGTATAAATTTTATAATTGTAAATTTATTTGTAAGATTTTCAATTAAGTGAAGTAATCATGCATATTTGTCCGTTAGTAATTTTTTTTACCATAAAATGTCACGGTTTTTCTCATCACAAATGTCATAACAAACATAATAAAGTGTGATAATTTTGTTATTCACAACTTTAAAGTACATACTATAAAATCATTAGTTGTAACTTTACCAAAATGTTGCATAATAGAATACAAAACATTCATAATTTTTGTCATAAAAAATTGTGTGGGTAAAAATCTGACCACACTGCTTGCTTAATGATCAACTGGAGAGCACAGGCAGAATAGATGGCTTCGGTAACCTGAAACAGAAAGAAAAGGCTCCGGCAGTGGTTCTTCCACCCGGGAGCACTCCGACGATCAAGTCAGTATGTTTCTCAAAGATAATCAAGTGCAAAACTTAACACTTAAAACATAAATTGCATACCTTAGACCCACGGGGGTGCCTCTCCTTTATAATATACTCAATCCAAGTCCTACTAGAAGTATGACTTCTATGAACTCCAATTTACTGCTTACTCTGGACTCTTTAAGAGATAAAGATAAACTCCCTTAAGAATTTTATCTAGGCTAAGTCCCCTCTTTGTCCTAGGACTCTTGTCCCTTATCTGCTTATCTCGGATTCCGATATCTTCGGGGATAACCTCGGCAACTCCGAGATCACCTCGGCTTAACTACCACGGCACGTGGCACCTCGGCTGACACGTCGGCGTCACCAGGCCACGTGTTGGTATTCAGAAAATATATCCCCACAACTGCCCTCTAGGTTCTATTACCTCGGCATCCTGAGGCGATAGAACCTATATCATTCATTCCTTTAATCATGTCGGCTAAGCTTGCTTCATCATTTATTGCCGAAGTCAGAACTCGTCGGCTCAATATGACCCAGACCTATAGTCTGCTTTCATCAAGGCTTTGGAACCAACAACCAAATTCAT